CCTATAATCTCGGCTATCTCTCTAATTTTTAATCTGCGGTCTCCCATTATTAAATCAAGTACTTTTTTAATATTTTCGTCAGTAGTTGACGTCGAAGGCCTTTCAGAGCGGGGTTCATCTTTCACACTCTCTCTACCACGCTTAAATTCTGCTATCCATTTTTTGACGGATGAATATGACAGAGCACAATCGCCTAATGTACTGACCATGTCATCACGGATGGCTTTTGATGATAGCCCCTTCTTATGGAGGTACTTAATGACGGCACGCTGCTCGATTTGCTCCATTCGCGGAAATTATGTCCGATTACTTTGTTAATAAATTTATAAAATCACAACTAATTATCGCACACGTTTCGAACTTCACACAATGAACTAGTCTGAACTGAACTAAATAATGTGGGTAGATTTGATTTTTAGAATTGAATGGATCTGTGTTAGGCCGAGTACTTTTCAATCCACCTAGGTATAATACTTACCGTCTGATAATCACGATTAGGTATGAAAGGGGTTCTGAGTTCGAATCAAAGTCATAACAAATAGTTGTCTATTCATCCTCCCATAGGTTCCACTGCTGAACATAGGTACAGTAGTTTTTGGCTATAGCGACGATGAAGGGACCACACGATTTTTGTCGTTATATCCGGAACTCGTAACAGGCAAAGGTAAAAAGATACAGACACGTACACATGTATAGCTTATATTCATTTATTATTGAAAATATTTGCACACATGGTTATTCATTGGTCTATTTCAAAATGCTACTCAGAATATCACCTTATAATGGAACCATAAATTTAACTCCAGTGAATGTACATGCTGCCCTACCTATTTAGCTGATATCTATAAACAAAAGGTAAAGATCCCCACAATTGCTAACCATTTATGTAGATGTAAACAAAAGACAAGAAGTGTTTGTGAAAGAAAGAAATCTTTGTGTCGTTGGCGGCCGACTCCGGTCGCAATATCTGCATGGAATTTCTAGGATTTTGTTACAAATGATTAATTAAAAACAGTCGCTACACCCGAACTCGGCGTTACATCCAAAGTCGCTGTAGCCACATGAATTTTGTACTACAGTACGCTTTAAATTCAAGGGACTTAGATTTAACGTCGTTATAGGTAAATGGTCGCTACAACCCAGGTCGTAATAAATGAAATCCACTGTATATATATATTGCCTAATAGAAGCATGTTAGCTTTTTAGCTTAGCAACCGCCACATTTTGAGTTGTTATCAGGAAGATGCTATTACCAACGCTGTTTTATTCTGCATACCAATGATATGTTGCAAACTGGTAACATTCATTGCTATGCAGACGACAGCACTGGTGATGCCTTATACACCGGTCGTGCCAATATTTCGCGGGAAATCGTCGCCGAGTACCGGGGCTAACTTGTGTCTGAAGTCGAGTCTCTGCTTAAGAAAGTCTCCGATTGGGGCGACTAAATCTAGTCCAATTGATACCCCAGAAGACACAAGTTTGCGCGTTAACCGCTAAAAAGAACCCCTTCCTCAGTTTGAAGGCACCAACCTTGCTGCCCCATCTAGCATCGGAATCCTCGGCGTCGACATATCGAATAGTGTGCAGTTTCGTGGTTTCTTAGAGGGGAAGGCAAATTGGCCTCTAAAAAGCTTACCGTGCTCAGCAGAGGGAGACAGTATTTCATGCCGGCACATCGTTTGCAACTTTATAAAGCGCAGGTTCGGCTTCACATGAAATACTGTTCTCATCTCTGGGCCGGGGCACCTCAATGCCAGCTGACCGCATCCAGCGCAGAGCGATTCGAATCGTCGACGATAGAGTTTCTGATCGGCTCGATTCACTGGCGCTGCGTAAGTGTTGTTGCATCCCTTTACGTTTTCTATCTTATCTACCATGGGAAGTGTTCTGAAGAATTGTTCGGATTAGTTCCAGCCGCCAAATTTCAGGAACGTACATCGTGTTAAAATTCACGATACCATCTGGATGCATGGCGGTCCACCACTGTGCATTTTACTAGGAGTTTTTTTCCTCGTACAACTTCTCTGTGGAGTTGTTTACCACCGGCGACTTTTCCGACTTAGGGACCTTCAAGAAAAGAGCTTACTCCTTTCTAAAAGGCCGGTAACGCACCTGCAATTCCCCTGGTGTTGCGGTTGTTCATGGGCGGCGGTAGTCACTTACTATCAGGTGAGCCGCATGCTCGTTTGCTCCCTCTTCTATAATAAAAAAAATATGTAGACATGTTGTATGTGGTCATTGTCTAATAATTGGACCAATGATGTCTCAGGCATTTAGTCTTATTGAATGTTTTTACAGTTTTGTGTGTCTTCTGCTTTACGAGTTTAATTCACAAGCTATTTAGTCGTGACCTTGGACAGTTAAATGTCATTTTAGGCCGCGGTACACACTGGCGTGATTCTATTTTTATTGGTTGGAATGAGAGCGTTTATAGAAAAGAAAAATATCCAGTCTAATAAAAAAAATTCTGCGTCTTTGACAATGTCCGAAGTAGTTGTTGAAATCATAAATAGATTATAATTGGCCTTACAATTCGCTGGGCCAGGACGCCCAAAATTATGTAAGATTCCATATTATTAAATGTAATTTGCGAAGTTAAAAGTAGTAGAGCCACGCTACAGCTATGTTACGGTTGTACCACGAATGAGTCGGCCCGACTGGGGAAGAACAATGTTCTCACAAAATACCAACGTAAAAACTAGCTTGATGCTGCCGTAATTCGTGTGGTGATTGTAGAATACCGGAGACCCTTTTACTGGAAGCGAGGCATGCCATCTAAGTCATCAGACATGACAACGCATATGCATTTTGATTCTTAATAGGGGATAGATGTACACATGAGCATGACCCACAGCATCCACTCACCATTAGGTGGACTGTGTATTCGTAAAAATATTGAAATACTGGTACCTAGCAATTGTGCATAAAATCTATTGGTATGGGTTTTTATTAGGTGCTTGATTAGGTGTCTGATAGACTTGAAGTAATGTATGGTAGGTAGTTAGATACTCGAAGACTTGGAAGATGACGTGACGCAAGTGATTCTCAATCTCGTACAGTAGAGTAACCATGTTCTATGCTCGGATTACTGGATACCTAAGATTCTTAGAGGAATTATTTACAGCAGAATGTAATTTGTACAACCTTTCGTTTATATTTCGATTATAGTTTAGCCTTGTAAATAAATCGAATTCAATACTACTTAAAGTGTGTATTGGACACTAACTAATAGCTCGCGGTGTGATTTCTGTAAACCAAAACTAGTTTTGGTGGCAATTGGAGGCCTATTGATGACGAAAAGGCTCTTAAATGTAGTAAAGTTTGAATAACAGATTAATGCTACTATTTTTCGTATAGTGAGCTTAGGGAACGAGAGCCCTCATTATTTTTGTATCTTGGCATTCTTATCATTACGTTAGTCCACTGAGAGACGATGCGGTCCTTAATCGAGGATAGATGCAGTTGTCTATGGCACACACCACAGCGTCCATTTACCATCAGGTGGTGGATTTCTCATATATATATATATATATATATATATATATATATATATATATATATATATATTAAATACTATTAAGTAAACCAACTTGAGGAATCAAAATGTATCATTAACTTTCAAATTATAATACCTATTAAAGGCCTTGCTAGTCCTGGAATGAACCTCGATAGAGTCTGTATTTTAAAGGTCAGGTGGGCATCCTAGGTTTGATGCAAGAGGTACTTTTGGAGTTTGAGTTCTGAGCATAGGTTGTATGACGTCAGTTGTATTTACTATACTTATACACTATATATTGTTATTAACCATATAACTTAGCTGTATTGTTCTCGAGCTTGCTTTTAGCTGGCGTGGATTGACGTTTTGTAGAAGTCGAGTATAGTATGTCTAGTTTTTATTTCTAACACACCCACGCGATCAGATTGTTCTATTTACGTCATGTTTGGGGTTTTCCAAATAACATTAACATAACATTTTATATGTAATAATGGATTTTCTTCAGTCATTGATGGTGAAGTAATGTTTTCTTTACCATTGTCACACAAGGTTGATCACCCAAAGTTAAGCCACTCATACTGATTTCCTATATTTACAAACCCAAGCATACCACTGCAAGACTTCAAGATACAGAAAGCTCATTCTGCGTAGATGGGACCAAAATGATTAATTAAAAAGTTTAAAGTACTTTAGGTTAACTATATCGGGAGGTCAATCACCTCAGTCCTCTGTGACCATGGCTGCATGCAGCGAACCACCCGAAACGTCAAGAATTAAAATATAATTAAAATTAAACGCAATAAAATCTGTAAAAATAGTTCTATTTCAAATGCCACTCATCATCAACATGATCATGACAGCCTATCACTAGTGTACTGTGTGGTGCCTGAGAGAATATATAGTATATACCTAGGGGTTACTATAAAGCACGTTCCAAAGCCATAATATATACAACACGTAACATAATTAACGCACTTTGAGAAAGTTGTTTGTTCAGAATCGTTTACTGAATCGATTCCTATCATTTTTAATATAGGTAATTTTTTATCCCAAAAATACTTAATTAAAACTACGTAAATTACAGTCACACTAAATCTGTACAGTCAAAACAAACTGAAATGGACCGTAGCTTAAGGCAATAAGACTTTGAGTGCAGTTTTATTTGTACTATTACTAATTCCGTCATTCAATAAAAATACAGAAAAATGAACTTTATTTCAAGCACGTTAGTCTTTGCGTTCGTGGATTTGTACTGTGGCCACAACATTCTTCCGGCATTAGTGTAACTAATTTGATAAATAATCAGTGCATAAAAATGTTTAACTAAAAATTCAGTGTATGTATTATTATTATAACATAATATACTAATTGGGGTGTCTGAGGGTGTGCCTTAATTACGTTACATATTGTATATATGTATGTATTTTTTCTACATATGTCGATCCCTTTGCATCATTTATTAGTTCAACCACTTATTCAAAGTTCGACTTAATTGTTACAGATGAGAAAGAGAAGTATGACCCTAACGGGTTCCGCGACGCGCTGGTGCAGGGTCTGGAGCGCGCCGGCGGCGATCTGGAGGCGGCCTACAAGTTCCTAGACGCGGCCGGCTCCAAGCTTGACTACCGCCGCTATGGGGAGGTCATCTTTGACGTTCTCATCGCCGGCGGCCTGTTGCGTAAGTATCTATATTTTATTGATTTGGGCAGCTATATTAATAATAATGTCCTCCAGATCGACTTTCGGTCAAGGCAGCCAGTCTCAAAGGAGTATAACCATCTACATAGGACAGAATTATAGTGTCTATCATAGAATACTATAATACACAATAGAATGGCTGTAAACTTTATTTTATACGAGGATTGGCGTCGCCAAACCCGATTCGCTGTGTTGACAGACTGAGTAACATTTTAGACTTTTAATTAATGTTCAATATCATCATTAAATTTTAATACATATTTATTTTTCTAAATAATTTTCATGCGAAATTTGGGAACGATTGTAATGTCAAAACACATCTCGTGTTGACATTTATACGTGTGAAATGACGTGTTAGTGACATTTTAGTGGCTACACGGGCTCCGCCCACTCCCCCGTTCTGTTATGTATGTATTATTATAGTATTCTATGGTGCCTATCCGCTGTCTATTCTGTCACTCTCATAGTCCGATGGGACGATAATTCGACACGCCCGAAGAGAGATCAGGCGCAGGACCAACGGATTTACGTTTTAATTCAGGATAGATGTAAGTGCCGATGGTACCACTGCATCCACTCACCCTCAGGTGGACAGTGGGCTTGTTTGTCAGATTTACTTCTATATAAAAAACTGAACTTCCTTCTTAACAAAAACAGTTCCCCTATGAGAAACTATGACCATCCTTTAACAACCAACTTTAAACAAAAAAGACGACAGATGCGTGGTTACCATTGATGACTAAGATGGAATGCCTCGCTAGAAGATTTACATTTACAAGCATTACAACATGATGATAAAACTGGCTAGAGTCCTGAATACAAATGTGGAATCACTAATCGTTCGTTCATTAACATCTGATTGTTCACCACCTGAACAGTTTATTTCTGTAGCCATGGACAACCGCTTTAGCTTAGCCTTTGTTCACAGTCCCGGGCGGCTCGGTGTCGATGGACGGCGAGACACCTAAAACCAACACATGTATTTTCGAAGCCAGCGAGGATATGGAGACCATGCGGAACTTCGAACAGGTATGTTTGCCTGATTCAGTTAAATATCAGAGTATTGGATTTGAATGTGTTTTGATTGCTTCTGCAAGTCACCGCATTCAAATCTTCTAATAAACTTGTTGCACAAGTCTTACTTTAAAATATATATTTACTTAATAACTAAAAGGATGACACCGATTACCATGAATGCTACTTGATAAATAAAGGATCCCTGTTTTATTTAATGAGAAGGAGGTCAGGGTTATTTTATTTATGTTAAGTATCTTAGTAGACATAAGCGAAAAGCATAACTTAATTTAATAAACTAAAATAAATAAATTTTAATATAAATAATAAATATTAAATAAATTTAATATTAAAAAATATTGCGTTTATTTTACTTTCACAGTTATCATTAAATCCTATTTATCACTAATATATGTCTGGCCGACCATATAGCTCGAAGAACCAACAACCGTTGGGGAAAATCAAGTGGCAGCCTCGTACCGGTAGGCGAAGTGTAGGGTGACCCAACACTAGATGGAGTGACGACCTGGTAAGACATGCAGGAAGTCGATGGATGCAGGTGGCTCAGGACCGTGCTTTGTGGCATACCAGTTACCATTAAATCCTATATATCACTGCTGAACATAGGCCTCCCACATATTGCTTCGTAGGAGGATGTTGTTATTATTTTTAGTTGCGATTAGAAAGATGCTGCTGCCCATATGATTTGTTTCCCTCTGGCGCCTGACGAAACCCATAGGATGGTATAGAGTGGTGGATATCCTAACACTGACCACTATACAGTACTTCAACAGTAATTATTTTTATTAAAACATCTGTTAATGCAATTGTCTACTATCTAAATAGATCATATATACCTTGAGACCATTATACTTTTTGGTGAAAGTGTTTCAAACAACTAAAAGTTTTACTAACAACTATCTCTAAAACACTCCTAAATGATGAAATACATGGCTAGAGTCCTGAAGCGTCATGTCGAAAACACTATTTCTCGTTCGTATTTTTCTGATTACCAATATATTTAGTAATCTAGTGCTTGACACAAATAGCTGCTGCTAAAAATAAAAATTTGCTTCCAGGTGTTCGTCAAGCTTATGCGTCGGTACAAGTATCTGGAAAAAATGTTTGAGGAGGAAATGAAAAAGGTAACTAACATAATTTAAATTTAGTTGGTAGCATAGGCCATGAATAACAGTTTCCCTGTCTGTGAAAAAGATACAATAGTTATACAATCGAAATGTTAAACACAGTACAAGGTAAGGGTTGAGATTCCCAAGTCGATCAAAATCAGTTATTGGACTTTTCCTTAAAGATATTCTAAGTAGCCGCCCAGAGTCACAAAAACTTGATAGTATTTCACCCCCGTGCCTTAGAAAGCACGTAAAGGCAAGGCATTGGTACTGCGTCTGTTCTCTCTCCAGTGGTATTGAATTTCCATCTCACTGGCCTATTTAAGGGAATCGTATATTTTTGACCAGGGTGATATCTTTGTTGAGACTGGACGTCACGCCGTGACCGAATTTCGCTCTAGCAGGGATTATTATATTGTGAAACAAGGCTACATTTAGAAAGTATTGGCCAACTTTAAGAACATTGTAACATGCTTTTCAGAGTTTTAAGGGATTCTATCGTTATGCAAGGAAGCCATATAATTTTATTCCAAGTATTTGTTATAATTACAAACATTTATCCCCTTTCTGTTATAACTTATTACATTGAAGACCAGGGATTGAATAACCGAAAAAATTACGGTACAGACGATAAGCGGTATGACGTCATACCTTTAAATTTCGATACCTTAAAATAAAGGTACCTTTAAATTACTATACCTTAAAGTAACTGTACCATTACTTTTTCAAGTATCTAAATTATAAAATAAAGGTATAAAGTATAAATAAAGAAATTGTACGCCGACACTCGCGCCGAGGCTTCACGCAGTGTCGGCCGCATTGGTAAGAGAGTAGGTACTTGATCGAAAATTTACGGATATTCGTGTCTCGGCAGCTAAACAAAGTAGATTGTTTTGCCATTTTGCCGCCATTCATGTTTCCGCGTATACTTTGATTGTCAACTTAATCACAAGTGTGCTTTTTTTAAATTATTTTATGTACACACATTAAGATACAGAAGCAGTCTTATAGTAATTTCGTACAAAGGTTCTACTTATTCCAAATTAGCTGAAATATCTTCCAGTAGACCCATAAAGGAAATTATATTGAAATTGCAAACTTAGTGCATACATTAGTACTACTAAAAAATAAATAATATACACAATGTTACGTAAATTATATAAAATGAGACAATAAATAAAAATAAATCAATAAATAATAATAATAATAAATACGATAGTTATATATATACATAAACTAAAACTAATATAATAGAATAATATATATAAATTAACAGGATGCAAAGTAGTTATCTCTAAGACGTTTCTTGAATACCAACAAAGTTTCGGAATTTCTTATATTTGACGGTAGTGAGTTCCATAATCTTACCGCGCGAACTGCTTGTTATAATGTGTGCTTTGTTATAACTTTACAATTAGATTGTCGTAAAGATGGATAAAAGTAGGTACAAACTCATTAAGCATTTCTTGACGATATTATAAAACTTTGTATATCTTTATACTTTTTTAGATTGAGGCCGAACGAACGTAATTTTTCGAGTTGTGAGTGATGATATGATTGAATATGATTTATTTCAGAACCAGTCATCATGTGTCAGAATAAGCACCATCATTCCCTAGATATTTTTGTGAATTCGGAACGACCAAGGACTCCTTCTGCTCTACACCCTAAAGTAGAAAAACACCCGGAGAAAGATAAACATTGCTCTGAATGTTTCCATTGCATGGCTATCCAACGAGAAGAAAAGGATCAAAGAAATGACATTTTTAGCTTCATCATTATCATCATTATATCCCTTCACAAGTCCACTGCTGAACATAGGTCTCCCTCAAGGAATGCCACAAAGCACGGTCCTGAGCCACCTGCATCCATCGACTTCCTGCATGTCTTATCAGGTCATCATTCCGTCTAGTGGGCCTACACTACGCCTACCGGTACGAGACTGCCACTCGAGAACCTTTTTCCCCATCAGTTATCGGTTCTTCGGGCCGAATGGCCGGCCCATTGCCACTTCAGCTTACTAATACATTGGGCTATGTCGATTGCCCTGGTTCTACTGCGGTTTCTAAGTTTATCGCGCAGAGAAACCCCGAGCAAAGCCCTCTCCATAGCTTGCTGAGCGACCATGATCGTCCTTATACGGCCAGCAGTTAAAGGAACATGTCTCAGATCCGTAAGTCATCGCTGGCAACATGCAGTTTAGAAGTGTACAATGTAGTTTTTAGGTTTTGAGGTATACCTCACGAGAAGATGTGTCGTAATTTCTCGAACGCTGCCCAGTCGAGTTGAAATCTCCTGAAGACCTCTCGGTCGAAGTTAGACTTACCTGGTCGGACTATTTGTCCCAGGCAAACGTACTCGTCAACAACTTCGAGCTTAGTGCTCCCAACAAATACCAGCATAGGCGTGACATGAACATTACACATGATCTTTGTTTTGTCCATGTTCATCATAGATCCCCCAGCGATTCCACCATAAAGACTATATCGTCGGCAAATCGAATGTGAGTAATGTACTCGCCATTGATGTTAATACCTTTCCAATTCAGCAGCTCGAAAACATCTTCCAATGCGGCGGTGAAGAGTATGGGTGATATAACGTCAACCTGTCTTACACCTCTCTGCAGTTGAATATGATTCGTAATGACTCGAAAACAGCACTTAGCATCGTAGCCCTACCGTACAAACACTTCAGCACTTCGATATACCGACAGTCAACTTGGCACCGCTGAAGGGACCGTAGCACCGCCCAAATTTCGACGGAATCAAATGCTTTCTCATATACGGTTACGGTTGTTACCGGTTGGCGGTATACGCCAGGTAAAGTGGCAGATTGTACTCTTCGGTCTTCCGTACAATCTGCCGCAGGGTATGTATGTGATCTATGGTACTGAAGCCTTTTCGGAAACCGGCTTTTTCGGGAGGCTGGGAGTCGTCGAGTCTGCGTGCGAGACGATTCGTAATGACTCTCGAAAACGGCACGCAGACGCGGCTCAGAAGGAAAATCGGTCGGTAGTTCTTCAAGAGAGCGTAATCGCCTTTCTTTAAAAACAAGAGCACTACACTTCTGCATCAAGCCTCCGAGTAGTGCCACCATGAAGGACGAAATTGAAAAGATTTTGAAGGATTTTAGATACCGGTTTTCCGCCCGCTTTAAAAAACTCCGCTGTAATTCAATCTTCACCTGGGGCATTGCCGTTTTTAACGTGATAGAGAGCCTTCTTTTCTTGCTCAGACTGACTTTCGGGATATCATCGGATTAGACTTGCTCTTGAATCGTTACTCACACTTGCGTGTGGCTCCAATGATAATATGTTCAGCAGCTCATAGAAACTCTCAATCTCACTCAAAATCTCAGGTGTCCCGGAAACGGTGTTGCCACACTCATTCTTCAAAGACTTTGGAGCCCTGGTTCCATTCGATCGCTTCTTCAATACGAGCAATATTAAAGTTGCGTAAGTCTCGCCGCATGCAGTTGGAGATCTGTCTGTTCAGTTGCCTGTATGCTGTCAAATCTGTTGACGATTGCAGCCTCATCTCCCGTCTAACAGCCATGAGATTAAGAGTGTGATCGGAGAGTTTTTGTGTTCTTCTGCGGCGGGTCTTGCAGAACTTAGCTCCGACCGCAAGGACAGTTTACACGAGCTTGTCATTCATATCGTCCACTGCATTGCAATCTTCTAGGCACTGAAAGCGGTTACGTAACTCGAGTTGAAAGGTTTCGGGATTCTGGATTAGAGCACGAGGGGGACGGAGCGTTGACTTCTTTAGACGAGACCTCTTCAACTTAACGTTTAGGTTCAATGTACCTTTAACCATTCGGTGATCACTGCCAGTTTTCATCCTTGCGATCAGTGAGACATCACTGAACAGTTACCGTCTCGTCTTCATAATAAAGTCAATCTCATTTTTTATCGTACTGTCGGGCCTCGACCAGGTCCACTTTCTGTGGAGCCGCTTCAGGAAAAAAGAGTTCATTATAAACAGTCCCTCCTTCTCCATGAAGTCGGCCAGCTGCTGGCCCCTTGTGTTCCGTTGCCCTAACCCAAATTTACCTACCGTCAGCTCACCTTTCTTCCTTTTGCTTAGTTTTGCGTTGAAGTCTCCCATTAACACCGTATAGTGGTTTTTATAAGAATGCATGGCTCTAGAAATATCATAGAGAATATCTAAAAATGTAATAGATGTTGGTGCGTAGACCTGTATGACCTTGAATACCGTTTGGTGATTCTGAATATGAGGTACGCAACCTTCGTCGACACACTACCAATCTTTACAAGGTTGTTAACGAGAGACTTGTGGACTATAAATCCAACACCTCCTTGGGACAGAATGGTCGCCCTCCCGGTGATAGAACAACCTGCCGGATTCAAGAATCACCGTGTCCTCCTCCTCTCTTCGGACCGCGGATGATCATTTAATATTCAAGCGCTACTTGTCTATCTCTTCTTCCAGCTCCAGGATCTTGTTGGTAGTCCTCAGGGTGCGTCCGTTGTTTGTTGCCAAGTCGAATCGTCTTAGGTGGCAATCGACCCTTCACCGGAGATTCTTAGCACCCCTCTCCCGTGTTTACCATGGTCGCCACCTAGCCAGGAATAGCGCGGCCGCCGTGGAACTGGGGGCCGTTTACTTATGTCGTTGCTCGTGGGGGGTATTTCCATAGTTGCCACGCTTTACGAGTGGGTTGGCAACTGCAGTTTTTTTTTTGTTGTACAATTGATGTTATCAGGAAGATGCTGCTGCCCATCTCCTGCCGCTTTCCCTCTGTCGCCTTTTACGACACCCACGGGGATTCTTAACCGCCACTACACGGCAGTAATTTTTAGCTTAGCGTTCTTTATTCGATCGCTCTCAGGGCCGGCAAATGTTATAAAAAACGGATGCAAAATATAAAAACTTGTATGCGAGCCCGTGTGTACTCAAAAATATTAGTATTCCTACATCCCTTGGAAGGGAAGCACTTTAAAGATGTTCCTTTAACTGATTCTGAAGAGCTAGGTTAAGAATTGGTACCCACATGTTAAACATAATATTACGTTTTTAATTAAATACTTTACTGATAATAAATAATAATACAAATATGATAAAGATGTTTTATTTTCTCCGAACATGAAATACAGTAACATAGGAAATCCAAATCGAATGAGTCTCATAACGTTAAGCAAGGTCCGAGACACAATACTTACATATAAATAAGCCTAAAATACTCATTTTTTTCGGTACCGAAATTATTTCGGTAAAGGTATTAGTAAAATATAGGTATAACAATACCGTAAAAAAATATAGGTATAATTCTTTTTTTTAACGGTACCACAACCGTAATTCTCAACCGTTTTGGTTCTACCTTTAAATCGAAGCTGTATCGTAATTCTATACCGGTACCATACCCTTATACCTTTACCACTTTCAACCCCTGTTGAAGACCCAGAGTTTCAGATAGTCCTTGCATGATTTTTTATTTTTTATTAGGTTTTGAACAAATAAAGTTTTTGTTTGGGAAGAGATTATTGGTACAATAAATATTTTTCGTCTTTCGAAACTAATTTCAAAACAATTGTTTTTATATAATAAAAAAATTCTTTATCAATACTAATCATGTGAATCCATTAATCTCTTAGAAATTAACCTTAATTTTCAAATCAAGTTCCAATTAAGTGTTGCCTTTAATTGTGTAAACAAAATTTGTGTTTAGTCTTTGAGTTGTATATTTTCTTATTATATTTTACTTTGAATAGTTGAAACTGTTGATGGTCAGACAACAAATAAAAAATCTACTTACTGCTTATTAATTATAATATTTTGTGGCAAGTCAAGTCAAAATGTGTTCTTAACTCCTTCACTTTTAAAGTCTGACACAAATATTGAGCCGCCTTACTTATTTCCAGGTCTTGGTGTACTTGAAAGGCTTTGAACCACAGCAGCGTATCAAATTGGCCCGTATGACTGCACTTTGGATTGGTAAGACTGATTAGAATAATATTTTAGTGTAGTTTGGATGTTTTTCTGTGACGTGATAGCGTAACAGAATCCATTGTCCCGTTTCAGTCCATGAGTGTATTAGCTGTTTTTTTGTCTTTATAGAATAAGGGTGACAAACAAGCACACAGTCCAACTGATGGTAAGTGGATATGGTTCCCCATAGATATCTACATCTATACATATAGTGAGGGCTAAGATAAAATGCCTCCTAAAAAGTGTCTCTGGTTCTATGTACTTATCATACGAAACATAACAGCATAAAGATGCTATTTTATGCTGGTATAATGGTCCCGTCCCGTTGTTGAATAAGACAAGCAAGTAGCCCATCTGCTATATCCTATACCTTTAAATGAGCAAATCTTGTATATATATATATATAAATATATATATATATATATATATATATATATATATATATATATATATATATATATATATATATATATAAATAATCGGAATCTCGGAAACTGCTCCGATTTTCATAAAATTTTGTATGCAGGGAGTTTCGGGGGCAATAAATCGATCTAGCTAGGATTTATTTTTAGAAAATGTCTTTGTCCGTGTTTTTAGGCAATGAAAAACTGCTACAATTGAATAATCTATCTATATATATATGCTATATAATATATAAATATATATATGCTATCGTTAGAATAAGAAGGTACATTTTGACAGTTTATTAATGATTACAAATAGCTTAATTGGTATATTGGGCGGTCACAAAATCGTAATACCGTGGTTCGAGCCCAGACAGACCGACCGACTTTTTTTTAATTTTTTTTATTTTTTCGAGCCCTTTTTTTAGTATTTTTTAAAAACACGAAAATTTAAATTAGACTAATTGCACTCATGATTTTTTATTCAAATAACCAGTTCAGTTTTTTCTATTATGTCGCTAAGATCAAAAAATATTATTCGTATTTCATCAGTATGTAATTTGTATCTAAATATAATTTCCAAAACACACGAATTTAAAAAAACCCGAACGAAAAATACCAAGCAAAGCTCGGTCAACCGGGTACTTCATTTATTATAAGTCCCTACTTAACATGTATTAATAGAGCATTTATTAACCATAGTTGCCATGCTACACAGGTGGGTTGTCATTTGCAGTTTTTTTAATTAAGTTCCCATCTCCTGTTTCAGTTTCTTTGTTGCTTCTTACGATGTCTCGACCTACGAGATAGTAGAGACCAATAATAATAATATTGCAGGCCTAAACTATAAAATAGATGCAAGATATCCCTCATTTTAAGTCATTATACTGCACTACTTAGGCACATCATAGAATCAGGTTGAGTACTAGTACATGTTTAGATTAAGGTACTATAGAAACTCCCATTTAGCTTTTAGACTTTGTCTAAGCTCAGTCCACTATAAGGTGTATTATTGTAATCGTGTTATAGCCTGTCCAACTGTCATGGGTTCATATAGGTAGTCAGCTGCTCAGTGTGCTAATAATATATAATTTACCACTTAAGGTCATCCATTCATCTAGTACAGCCCTTAAAAGTACAGTGCTGATCATACGCATTATCAAGGAATGTCAAAACATAGACCTGAACTATATGCATCCATCAATTTCCTGCTGTCAGTTCTTTGAGCCATATGGCCAGTCCCACTTCAGCTTACCAATCCTTACCCCATATGTGATATAGTGAGTTTTTGAAGAATATAAAGATGTACGGTCCGGTTGCAGGCAACGGGTGCGTGCCGCCGTCGGTGCTGCTGGTGCTGGTGAACGAGCATCTGCTGAAGGACAACCTTGCGCTGGACTTCGTGCTGGAGGTGTTCGCCACCGTCAAGCAGGAGCGCGGCGTCACCTCGCTCGTCACAGCACTCAAGAAGGGACAGCTTGAGGGCAGGTAGACGCACACTCTCAACTTCTTTATTTAAATGGATCATAAATAATACTTATTGAAAGTCAGTTTCATTTAACATTAATTTACTTAAAAAACTACTTTCATCTTTTTCCGATTACAAAAATATAATAAGTGTGTTATCTCAGAACTTTTTCTAGGTGAACCAATTTTGACAATTGTTCTTTTATTTGCAACTTGCTGCTTCTCATGTCGTCTTATATTTTGATCGAGATTTGACAAATAATTTTTGTGTTATCCTTAATAATGCGTATTTAATTGACTTCGACTACATGATGATGATGTTCTCATTTTATTCACATTGAAGTTGGTTGTACAATTTTTTTTAATTAACCACTTGTATTTTTTATATATTATTCAGTTTTTCACCATACACCATTGTGTACATATTTATAGTCCTATTTTAAGTGATATTTAAAATATGACCAAAATAGTTTGCAAAAGTAATTATAAATAACCCCAGGATTCTAGTTCAGCGATTGCATATAGTTGAATCGTAAAAAAAACCTTGGGGCAGAGAAATGCGTCATGTACTGGCTCGTTACATTTTTGTGACGGTGTCATGGATGCCGCAACATTTTTTTACAGTTTGCCTATACCAGGATTGTAGTTTAAGACCTGCAATATAATCCAAAATACATTAGGTGTAAGTATGACCAGGTTTGTAGAATAACTGTAACAGTTATAAAGTTAAAATAGCTGATGAGTTATATGAGCTATGGCCCTGCGTGGTTAACCAAGATGATCGATCGCTAATGCTATAGAAAACAATAAAAAAACAGCATTTAAGATTAGGATTAGACTCGTCTAAGATGCTAAGATTGAAAGACACCATTATATCTAGCATTAACTCCAGCCAGAACGTTGATAATTGTAAAACCCCTATATCACCATTAAACCTATTTTTATATAAGGGTGTAAATATATATCTCCGTTTCTTTTATAAAATGTTAGCCACTATAGTATTTTCTCTTGTATCATGGAATTAATTTTATACATAATTGCACAAGGACGACCTTTCAACCTAGGACAATTATTAAGTATTATTTTTATATATTACTATTATATAATGACAATAATTAAGTAGGTCAAATGAATACTTGTTCTGTGTGGAATACTAACCTGTATCCTTCAGCTCCGTAACTCAAAACTAAGGCACTGTGTCACGGAGTGTTTTGTTTGGTTTTGGAGTGGTGTCGTTTTAAAACAAGTTGAACATGTCTTGTCGAGCTTTATTTATAGGTTTTTGTGTTGCAGGCTCCTGGAGTTTTTGCCTCTGAACCGGCGTAGTGAAGAAGTGCTGGCCTCATCGTTTGCATCTCGCGGTCTCGCCGAACTGTTGCGGCTGCACCGAGCGCAAGCCTCGCAGGTGCGTACGCACAGATTACTCATACTAACCCAATCAATATAAAAAAGTCACACTGACCAATGTTTCAAGGTAGACTTAAATAATACAAAATCAGATAATTCTGAACAATTTGTTTTGCACAAATGCTATTTTCGACTTTGGGTTTGATCTCAGGATGCGAGATTTAGCATCAAGTCTAATTTTAGCAACATTACAAAACATACTTTAATTTTAAATTAAACATAAATTTTGTCTTTTGCAGCAGTGTACATTAAATTGCTTAAGTGCAATGGAACCATAAACAAGAGTTTTTATAAACACATATTTCTTTTACAATTTAACACTTATTTGGTTAAAATATCGCCTTGTGGTCGCTGTGAATTTATTGAATTAAATTGAATTGAATTTCTTGAATTCACTACATGTCGAATTCAAATTCAAATTCATTTTATTCATTTGCGATATATGGGTTACAATAGGTCTTAATAATTTAACAAAATACAGCCATATTCTACCTTTCGGTATGCAAACTACTTAAATATTAGATTTTATTTATAATTAAAATTAAATGGAAAATGCCGATAATTACATTAACATAATATAACCCTATTTGTATATTTGCGCTACTAACATAATAATAATTCACAAAATAATGATAAAATACATGTAATAATTAAAATTGTAATGTCCAAGTAATAATGTCAAAACGAGTAGGTATAAATTGTCTCAAAATTAATAACATTAACAGTATTGTCACTCACTTGTCGACAGAGGCGGCCGAGGGAAACTAAGACAATATGAATTAAAATTTTCCTGATTACGACTTGAAATAATAAACTGTTGTTGTAATCCAACTGCTAAGCATGGCATATCAATATCACATGGCAAATATCCCCCCAAGCAGCAAATTTATGTAGGCAAGCCAGTCTATGTTCAACAGTAAGCTGTAATGATTATGATGATTAATTTACAGCCTGTATGTAAATTTACAGCCACTGCTGGTCACACGCCTGCTCTAATTTCTGATTGGGTTCAAGGGATCAATTGGTGCAAACCGACCACCACACTACTCAAGTGCATGTTGGCAGACTTCACATATAGTAGTATTAGAAAGTTAAAAATCTAAAGAATTTTATGTAAGTTGCTCCTAACCATACGTTGTCGCACAGGAAGCCCGTCGAGAGCTGACCCAGGCGTTGCTTGACGAATTAGCGGACGAGAAGCCGGTTCGCGACCTCATACAAGAGCTGCGCGATATGGCCCAGAAGCACTCCATTCCCGACCACGAAGTTGTTGCCATTGTATGTATTGTTTAATTGAAATACCTGAAGAGAAATATACAATTGTGTACTTACATGGAAATTGCTTCTTTAGCCCTATGTAGGGGTTTGTTCCGAAATAGAACCCAGTATACTGGCCAATCATAAATCGACGTCATACTGGTGATTCGTTTCAAAACATTGGCCAGTAGGTGACATCATACATTTGCGCCATATTGGAGAAGTGTTTGCGATTATTTTATATCATTTTGTGCTCCAGCTAGAGATACCAGCAATAATTCTATAATTTTTGGTATTTGAATAAAATAAAAACAAATTCTGGCATGCTTCATTCAGTGTACCACACAGTTAAAAATTGTAATAATATGGCGGGGTATACGACACAATATGGCGGCGACACGCCAGTATAATATCGCGTCAACTAATGACGTCATTTACATTACGAACATAGCCTAAGGTATTCATAACGACCATCCTTGTCACATTTAACAATGAAGATAACTTTGAGGTATTTTAAAATATATATATATATATATATATATATATATATATATATATATATATATATATATATATATATATATATATATATATATATATATATATATATATATATATATATATATATATAGTTTGTACTGGTATCTTAAACAATGTGGCAAACAGACAGACAATAGGGCATAAAACAGTTCTTATGATGAAACTTGATGACGAGTCGGAGAGATGCGGCAAGACTTTACTAGCTGGTATTGGTTGAGTCTTTCATCCATTCCAAGCCTGTATTGTTCCAGTCGCAGCTCCATGTCGACATGGCAATCTGATCCTTAAAAACCTTTTCTACACCCAGAATGTTGGTAACGCAATACCCTAATGTGAGCAAATTGGTGCAGATTTGGCAGTGCGTGATGTCTCGCGGCGAGTGGAACAAAAAAGAGGAACTGTTGGCCGAGCAAGCGGCGAAGCACTTGCGTAATTACACACCACTGTTGGCTGCTTTCGCGCAGTCCGCAAAGGCTGAGATCGCGTTGTTGACTAAGGTAAGATATTATGTGCCAATGAGAATTAAACAATTCCTAGAGTTAGAATAAATTTATTGATATTAGAGTACTCAACAAACACACATCTTAGGGGACATCACTTCAAGTTAACCAAAACCATGTCACTAATAACCTACACAAGCACTTTTTTAGCCAAAGGGTGGTTGAAGCATGGAATAAACTGCCATCAGAAATAATATCTGCACAAACTATTAACTAATTCAAGAACAGATTAGATAAACATCTAGTATAAGAATAATTACACATTTGAATTAAATGATATAAGATACGGACTTGCTTACATCAGTTGTTTCAACTGCTAGCCTATTAAATAATAATAATGATGAATGTTTTTCCAAAGTTTCGCTAGTAGTCGTTTTAATATGTGGTAGAGCCATGGTGCAGCTATATTAATTGTATAGATGTAGCACAAATGGGGAGGCTCAACCGGGGACAGACCACGCTCTCATAGAATACCGGCGTAAAATAACATAATGCTGCTGTGTTTCGTATGGTGAGTGTAGAGAACCGGAGACCCTTTTTACTGGACTCGAGGCATTCCATCTTAGTCCTCACGGCTGACAATGCATCTGCATTTTGGTATGCAAGGCAAGAAGGATAGATGTAGATGTCTATGGGCCAAAGCAACCACTTACCATTAGGTAGGCTGCCTGCTCGCTTGTTACTCTTATTCTATAAAAAAGCATTAAAATATACAAATAATATTTCCTCTCCCAAATTGCTTGAACAGACCAAATTACTGCTAGAAACCACAAGCGTTATAACAGTTAATTTCTTTTAATTACTTGAAGATTCTCACTGTATTTTATAGTTGTGTCATGTCAGTGCCACATCACATCAAAAACTTACATAGGAAGCTATGTGATCTAAAGCATCTAGTATAAAAATTACGATTGAGTGGCGTGCTTTGTTTTATATGATAGGGTGACGAACAGGCACACAGTCCACCTAATGGTAAGTGGTTGCTGCGGTCCATAGACATCAACATCTTTCCTCGTTTCCAGTAAAAAGTGTTTCCGGTTCTCTACACTCAACCATACGAAACACAGCAGCATTAAGCTACTATTTTACGCTGGTGTTCTGTGAGAGCGTGGTCCTTCCCCGGTCGAGCTGACCTATTTGTGCTACAACTGTGCTACTAATATAACTGCAGCATGGCTCTACCACATATAAAAAATGTGATGTGTGCTGCAATGAAAACAGGTTTACTCGTTTATTAAATGCTAGTTTAAGAATATCCAGACAACTACCTCACATAGTTCAAATTAATTCTGTTAGCACACTCAGATTTTTTTATGAACTCTGTAGTTCACAAGTGAATAAATGAAATGTAAATAACATTATTGCTATGTCAAATTATATAAGCTAATTTATGTGTTTGTGTTTTTGTTAACACATCCTGTCAATAAAATTAATTTTGGCACACAATTAGAGCCAGCCCGAGTAACATGCTTGTGTTGGTGTCGAAGTGTGCAATATAAACTCACGGCTCATCCGCGGACATCGTACCTGCGACTGTTCGCTTCACTGGCCGTGGCACATTGTCTCCATTATACATATTGTTTGTCAAGGAGACGTGGATATTATTATTATTATAAAATTCCACTACCCCATATTATCCCGCGGGTGTTGTAAGAGGCGACAGAGGGAAACAAATTAGAAGATGAGCAGCAGCGTCTTCCTACTAATGACTAAGAATAAAATACTGCAGTTGCGTGATAACTATAGCAAAGATATCCCCCTATGAGGCGATCTATGGAAGTAGCCTATGTTCAGCAGTGGACTTTAATAAGCTAACATTAACGGTTATGAAATTAAAATTAAATTACAAGGGAAGAAAGATTCTCGAGTGGCAGCCTCGTGCCGGTAGGCGTAGTGTGGAGCGACCCCCCATTAGATGAAGTGACGACCTGGTAAGACATGGAGGAAGTCGATGGAGGCAGATGGCTCAGGACTGTACTTTGTGGCACTCCTTGGGGGAGGCCTGCTCAGCGGTGGACTTGTGAAGGGCTGTAATGATTGTCTTTTAAAAATTTCAAACCCCCTGGATCTAAATTGTTATTGGATCTGGTTGAAAGTAAAATTGGATGAATTTTGTTTGCTCAGGTGCAAGAATACTGCTACGAGAACATGAGCTTCATGCGAGCATTTAGCAAGCTGGTGCTGATGTTATACAAGACCAATGTGCTCTCCGAGGAGGTTATCCTGAAGTGGTACCGCGACCCCAACTCTAGCAAGGGCAAGGTCATGTTCCTCGACCAGATGAAGAAGTTTGTCGAGTGGCTCCAAAGTGCTGAAGAGGGTAAGTGGGAAATTATTGTTATTTCTATTGCTACTTTTACGAAAGGGGCGCATATGTACTTCAATAGCATTACCAAATAAACATAATATTAAAGAATAATACTTATTTTGCTTAAAATTTGGCAAACTTAAAATCTGGCAACACCGTCAGCAATGGTTTCATGTTTGGGCGCGGCGTTTACGTTATGAATATGCGACGACCGAATGTATATGTCCCTCTCAGTTTCCACATTTTAATTAAATTTTATTGTATGCGGGGTAATGTTTAAGTATTCTTTGATAAAAATTATATAATCAGAATCATATTGCGATATCTTAAAACACGCTCATTGTTTAAAAAGGTTGCTTTTACATATTTCAATAACAATGATATTCCTGAAGCAGTAGTAACGATTTAATATATTTTCTATGGTTTTATTTTTGTTCTTTTTCATCAATCTGACCATGAGCCTCTCTCTCATTATATTTAATATGCCTTAATTTTAAAAAAAAATTACTTGTTTGTATGTTAGTTTTCTATGTTTCTATTCTATTCATTGGATTACGATGACATTTTGTCGTTATTTGCGCACGCCAAGGAATGCTCTTGACAAAAAAGAGCATTGTAACCGTATATAAGCGACAGTAGCCTAATGGCAGGGCGCGGACCGCGAACTCAAAAAGGTCGTAGGTTCGAATCCGCCATTCGACTACTGGCGTGAACCACTCGTAACACAAGCAATTAAAGCTTATCACGAGTGGTTAAGGGGAATATTAGTAATGTTTATAGCATTGTTAATATTCTTTTAAAAAAAACCGTTGGGCACATGCACAGCTTGTGTATTATTTAAAGAATGCTTCGATTCCAGTAAAACAGGTCTCTGATTCTCTACACTAACCATACGAAACACAGCAGTATTAACCTCCTATTTTATGCTGGTATTCTATGAGAGCGTGGTCCTCCGCTCGAGCCGACCCATTCATATTACTACTATTGGGATTTGTATTATTACATAATAATATATATTATATATAATAATACAAAATTACATTTAATAAGAAGCAATGGGTATTCCTAATTATAAAATAAGGCTTGGATATTGGTTTTGCATTTACTACGGAAACTTTATAAAAAGTTACCCTTTGCACACAATTAGAGCCAGCCTGAGTTCCATGCTCATGTTGGTGTCGAAGTGTGCAATATTAAGTCTTGGCTCATCCGTGGCCTTCGCCTCTTGCGACTGTCTGCTTCACTGGCCGAGATACATTAACACAACGATTTTTCTATTTGTTACCGTAAAATATTTATGGGCCGAGAATTATAATTTTTTTTAATGTAATAAGGGTGACAAATAAGTACACAGTCCACTTGATAGTAAGTGAAATGCTGTGGCCGATAGACATTTACATTTATCCTTGATTAAAGGAATCAAAATGTAGATGCATTGTCACTCCTGAGTACTATGATGGAATGCCTCGTTTCCAGTAACAAGGGTCTCCGGTTCTCTAGACTCACCATACGAAACACAGCAGAATTGAGCTGCTATTTTACGCTGGTATTCTATAAGATAAAGTATTGAAATACTTTGAAACATTAAGAAAGATAATTTATTAATTTTAATTTAAATGTGTGTAATATTTATTCAAAATGTTTTTGTGTAATAGAGCAAATAATACAACTTTATAGCTGCTGACTAAATGGGTTCAAAAGACCATCCATTCAAAAGAATTCTTAGTGTGAAGTTCGATAAGAATCGAACATCACACTATGAATTCTACACTGGAAGGGTAAAATTTCATTGGTGTTATTCCAGTATAATGCTACTGTGTTTCATATAATTATGAAGTAAATTATATATACTAAGGATATTTTTGAGAATTAAGGAGTCTAACCATCAGATGGACTGTGTGCCCATTTGACGACCTAAGTATAATAGAATCCCCGTGAAACTACAGTTGTGGTTATAGCAATTGACAAAACTGTTTTCGGTTTCAGAGTCTGAAAGCGGTGAAGACGAAGATTAGATTAAGAGCAGCGAGTGAGACTGAACATAACACGAGCGCGCCGTCCCACACAAGCACATGATAATTGATAACAGACACACACAGACAGATCCTAACCGGTCCACGACGGCGCCTGAACAAATCCGCGGACGCGTAGAGAGTTGCTTTTGACCGTACTGCTTAGAATCTTATGCTTCCATTGAAAAACTCAAAATTGAACTAAAGACAACTAATCTAAAGGCTTTCAGTGTTACCTGTAACAAAAAATTGTATGTATATTTTGGTTTATATACTATCATCGGCTATAATCGTGTGATGTGGTGTCTGCATATTATATATGACTAACTCGACAAATGCGTGAATAATAATTTTAAGGTGTAAATGTGATGCAGAGTTTAGATACAATTGTGACTAATTTGCATAATGTGTGTTATCATTAGGTGTTGAAGTCGATGATCAAAAATCGTAAGTTTAAGAGATCAAACTTACATATAGTATATAAGTAGGCCAAATTACCACAATGTGTGTGAAATTCGCTTCCAGAGTCGAAACTTGCACGTTATAATTGTACTTAGTTTAAGAAAAAGCACCCATGATGTTTTTAGTATAGACTTGTTCTAACGAGCGTTTTTTAAACGTTCGTCGTAGGAACTAATATAAAATGTACTCGTTCAATATATAATAATAGTCTGTTAATATTTACGTTTTATTATTCTTGTCCAATCTTACGTTATAATAAAAAAAACTGAAAATCCAAAAGTGCACACCTTGAATGCTCATGTAAAGTCTTTAATAATCAATTTACTTTTAATTACCGAAACACGTGTTTCGTTTAAAGCTGTAAAAAATTGTTTCTGCTTAATTAATACGAAATCTTTTTAACTGCTTGGTAGCGGTGATTCGTATAATAGTGAAATTTAAAAGGATTACTAACAATTTAAATCTAAAACTAATAAAAAGAATCATATTGATAAGTACAGTTTTTCGAAAGATATCTAGTGTACACATCCATACCGACTAACTGACTCCAAGTAAAATTATTTCCATTAATTTTTTTTTTATAATAATCGAAATAAATATTTTTATAACTACGTCAGAAGTATTAATTGAAATCTCTTGCTATTTTAGTACTTGCTATGCAAATTTTTTTTGGTTCAGTGCAATATGGTGGATGTGATTTTTCGCGATTTTTTCATTGGGTGACAATGGAGCACGCACTACGTGTTCGCGCTCGATGTGTGCATTATAGAAGTTTGATGACAATAGAAAGGTTAAAAAGCGCTTGTTAGTATGAGATTAGTTTTCTACCAAAAACAAAATCCTGAACTGTCCAACAAGGTGTTCATTTCATCATGTAGAGTAAATAAAATAGCAGTTGTCAAGCGCGGCTCCCTACGCGACACCGACTGTCGCTCAATAATCATACGAAATAATAAGTGTACCATAATATAATAATTACCTAATAGTAAATAATAATTGTTGACGACGAGAGCGACGCGGCGCGGAACTTTTCTACAACTGTATATTATTCATTTCTAAAGTAACATGTTGATGAAATACAATATTTTTTATTCAATTTTTTTAGTAAAATTCAAATAAATGGTGGCAACACTTCTATGTTGTTTTATTTTGATTGTATCCTTTACTATTTATCGTTCCGCGAGTGTTTGGTTATTAATTTTTGTGAATATTTTGGATTACATTTTGAATTCAAGTCACGTCGCTGTTGATTTGGAGTATCGATACCGATGAAATATTGTGTCGGGCGGATCTCGGCCGGGCTGAAGTTAGCTCTCGTAAATTCGTGAATGTACACGAATTTACCGATCATGGCGGGCTGACGGAGCGCCGTTAGAAATGTGCCACTTCATATTTGCTCTTAAGATTAAGTAGAGAAATATTCTGTTCTGTCTTATTATAAAAATTTATTAATTTATCAATGAAATAATATCTAAAAGAATTACTATATTAGTATCAGCAGTCTTGGTTACTGGACGCACTCCCTGCTTCTTGTCACCATTTTGTTCCTTCCTGCGCAGCCACTCGCGACTAACTTCGGCCCGGCCAAGATAGAACGGGCAGACTGTCAATGGAGGCAGATTATGGAAATCTATGAGGGGGGCCTATCTTCATAACATTGTAAATGAAGAATTGTAATCAGATTTTGTTTTCAACCGCAATACTGCGTGACTACGTACATGAGCTATTCAGATATTTTTATTTTCTAGAAAAAAAATAATAATTAGAGATAAGCCGAATATTCGGTATTCGGCATATTCCGCAGTTTTACCGACTATTCGTATTCGGCTAAATCACCGAAAATTCGTTAAAGTGGTACTCAACTCGAATTATCCACTGTATTGAAATGTACGAATTGAGTAATGCCTTTCATATTTTTACTATTAAAAGTATGTATATTTTATTTAAAGATTAAAACTACTTGTATAGCGATATGTTTTTCAGAAATTTGATTTATGTCCAATTATAGCAAATAGAAAGCTTGATAACATGTTTTTAAAATCAAACAAAGAAACATAAAATTTCACTTTTTTATTATGTGCGAGCACCTATGCAGGTCTAGGTAAGGAGACCAGTATCACTGCGACCTTAAAGATCTATTGTGATCGCTGCTATGGCTATAGTTCACGGCTAAGCCCTATGTCTTCAATAGAAGTTGGTTAGCCGTGAATTATTTAACTTCTGGGCGGAGACCGGAGTACATATTTTCCTAGATGAGTGTTACGTTTGCGCAATAAGAGTCCGCTATCAGTTAGGATGTGCAGAGGCGTTTCTTCCGTTATGGAACAGAACCGACACACTTGAATTGCTTAGTCCCAGGATGGACATGTGCTTTTTAAGGCAATTTATTTTTACTTAATCCCAGGGCTTCTGAGGCAAATTTACGATCAAAAACCCGGATTAAGGTTTTAGAATGTTTTAAGCCTGGTGTGTCAGACCAGATCTTACGAATTATATGGATGACGTAGTGTTTTTGCCGATTGATTTCCGCACACTGAAGTATGGCGAAAATGTCTGCCTGGAAGATAGAGGTAAATCTACCCAAATTCATTCACAATTCATTCATTCAAAAAGTATGAATTTGAGGCGTTCCCCGTAGATTCCAAAGCCTACGTCGAGGCCCATTTTAGACTCATCGGTATACCATATAAGGCTACCGACCTCACAGATAAATTGACCGTTCATCCAGTTATCTCTGGAGGGTAGTTCTACTATAAACTTTTTGTCAAAAGTGTATAGTGGACGCATGATACTCGTATCTGAGATGTATAAGACCGGTGTTTCCTTAACCGTTTTTAACAAAAGAAAAAATGGCCCTACTTTTTTCTTTTTTAAAATATGTGTCTGTATTATACACATTAAGTTCACAGTATTGAAGGGCTTAATTGAGTCAAGCATGGACCTCAATCTGTAGGAGAGCAAGATCAGACCGCCCTGGGCGTTAATCCTATACAAACCAGCCTTCGCCTCCTTGTCTAGATAAAGATCAAGGGCCGTTAGGCATAGAAGTGCATTAAGAGCCGCTCCAGGCGATGATCGCATAGCTCCAGTTGCCATTAAGCAGGCAGTCCTTTGTAGACTATTTAGTCTGTCCGCAGTCGTCTTTTGGTTGGCCTTGTTACACCAGACAATAGAGGCGTAGGTGAGAATCGGCCTCACTATGCTGCTGTACAGCCATAGGACCATACTGGGACGCAAGCCCCAGTTGTTCCCGACCAAACGACTGCATGTACCTAAAGCAATTTTTGCCTTATGGCATACGTTGCTAAGGTGAGAGTTCCACGTTAGTTTTTGGTCGTTTGTTACGCCCAAGTACTTACATCCGAGGAAAATGGTACTTCTTTACCATTAAGTTTTGGTTGGACTATTTGTCCAACCGTCTCTTTTTGGTAAAGGGTATTATAACAGTTTAATCAGCATTAACTGATAAACTGTTATCCCTACACCAGTTATTTATGGTGTTTAGGGCTCTTTGTATTATTGACGGTAAAGTACTTTGGCGAAAGCCCCTCGCAATGATCACAAGGTCATCAGCATAACCCAGTGTGTCAATGCGTAGGTCTGCCATTATGTACAATAGTTGGTCAACCGCAAGAGTCCAAAGAAGGGGTGAAAAACACCTCCTTGTGGGCAGCCTCTTGTGGTTGCAACCTCAATCGAAGTTTGAAACAGCGCTATTTTTGCCTTTCTGTTTGAGAGCATCGACTTCACCCATCTGATGGTTGTGGGGTCATTTTAAGATGTCAGGCCCCCAATCAGCAACGATGTGGGGCTACTGTTGAAGGCGCCCCCAAATCCAGTGCTTTTTCCACCCTGGCATCAGTGCTAAGCATGTTGGTTGTAATGTGTGGGCCTCGTAGCCTGATCTATATGCCTATATATCTATCTATAACCTTTTCCAATGTCTTAAGAGGGAAGGAAGATAGGCTTATAGGTTTAAAGCACTTTGGTAAAGCGTAGTCCTTTCTACCAGCCTTAGGTATAAATAGAACTTTGACAATTGTCCATCGTTCTGGATTATATCCCCATGCAAAACTTGTTTTGAAGATTTTCAGTAGATAATAAAGAAGGGTGTCGATACCCCTCCGTAGTTGGATGGGAATTATTTCATCCTCCCAGCTTGTTTTAAATGGTTTTAAGCCCACTGCACCAGGTTTGGCCTTATTATCTTTGCAGCCCTACACCAGTCCTCATTACAAGGCCTTCGTAGGGCTCAGAAAGAATTCAAGGCTGAAGTCTTGTGTGATCTTGGGAAATAGGTTGACGCTAGTAACTCCAATGTTTCTGTTTCACTATTAGTGAAGTTACCATCAGGCTTTTTAAGAAGCCCGATCTGATTAGGTTTAGCTTTCTTCTCAAGCTCAACTTCCTCGCATAGCTTCCTCCACGATGCTCTCTTGGCTTTCCTAATTTCTTTATTATACTCAGGGCTGCACTGTAAATATCCCACTCTTTGGTTTTCTTAGCCTTATTTAATTGTTTCCTGGTCTTTTCCCTAAGGT